GTTACTGTTCAGTATCTGAATTAAGAATAAAAGTCAATGGTCCTTGTTATAAACCAATCCAAAGGGTGAAAAGATCTTAGGGCCTCGAGATTCAAATATACTACCCAAAAGAAGTTAATGAGTGAGGGAGTTTAGTTTTATGCCGCACTCAGCAATATTCCAGCTATATGGCAGCGGTCTGTAAATAATCAAATTTGGAGCAGACAATCCAGTGATCAACAGCATGAGCATCGATCTACACAATTGGGAACCGATGACATGTGTCAACCAAGCCAGCGAGCCTGACCACTCGATCCTGTTAGTAAAAAAATGTTGTGCAACTGTTTCATATGACTGCAGTCAATCTGTCACTTATATTACAACTGAAAACAAATGTTTCTTTAACTCCTTTTGATAACTCCTTTCGAGTAGTGTACAATAACAGCTTACCCTAAAAGTTGCTTTACAAACACTGAAATTTGTTAGCACAATTATCAACACTTCAATGCCATTTCCAGTTAAACACAACAGGATAAACTTAATCTAAGATTAAATGTTTCTCAAGAAACATAAACATGGAATGGTATAGTCAACTAATAAATAATACCTCATGCTTAGGTTCAGGAGATCCTGACAAACAAGTTTTGTGACCTTTTCTTTTCACACCTCAACAAATGATTTACTTGGCTGTTACAAAGTAAAGAAATAGACAGTTAACTAGTAAAGCCTTAAGTTCTTTAAAAGGCATTTAGAAGCTGGTATGAGGAAGAGGAACACTTTTTATATGTAGACAAATTCTTTTATTGCCATAGATGCGATGTTTCGGTGTAGATCCTAACAGTGTTATCAAGCAAAGGATAACAGTGTTAGGACCTACGCCAATGTTCCTCTTTGTCAAGCCTTATTGTAATCAATAATGGACAAGTAAAGACAGGATGATAATCTGGCATCAATTTCATTCAATTGTGAGTTATTCTTACTTGCTTACCTGGCCTCGTTCCATAAAACAATCTTAGTTAACTAGAGCTCATCACTTCTGTAGACATACAACAGTCACAAAATAAAGAGTGACTGAGTTTGTTTGATGCCCAATTTAAAAATATTTCAGTAATATAACAACCTGGATGTCCACTTGATGTGTATGCAAGTCTGAAGTGAAGTAAAGCTGTTCTTCGTAGACCATAAAGTAAAAACATTACTAAAAGCTTTATGTATATACTGTTTTCCATAACACTTTGTGTGCAAGTATGACATAGTAGTTCACATTCAATATTGCCAAATAAATTAATTCAAATTATTGGAAGATATAATAAGCTGCAATATGTTTACAAAGCATATATACAGACATAAGAAAATGTTTTACAAAATAGCCATTTCTACATATCACTTATATAAACCTTAGCAAAATGATGACAAAGATATTGAGCAAATCTTATTGAGGAATATTCTCCTCAACAGTGAAGGGATTTATAAGGTATAAATGTAATTGGTCGGAGTTTAAGTATTGCTTGAGCTATAAGAAAACTAAACAAACATGGAAAAGTCATTTGTATAAATTAACAGGTCATAGTGATATGTATTACTGTGTGACATTTTGCCAGCTCTCAGAGTTCACAGAAGCAATGCAAGAATCATCCTTTTAGTACAAACATTTTTCACTTTTAGTCCCCTCAAAGAGCCGTATGTTTTCTAATTTTTCAGTATTTCACCCAATGTTCACTTCCCATGTACTGCTAGCCATGGTAACATACTTAGAGTTTCCTATGAAAGCATGAATCTGAGTAAATGGTTCTGATTCACAGTTTGAAAAAAAAGCCAAGGCATAAACCCCCATTATTATTCACCATTTCTTATGAATAGCAGTGATAAAATCTTACCTAATTGTAAAACAAAGTCATCCAACAGTTATATTTTGCCAAATTTCATTTTTTCCAATGTCATATCATCTTTATTTTGGTCCCATCAACCAACCCCCAAAACATACAAGGCTGTAGCAGGCATTCATTTATCTTGTGAGAAAATAGTGCAGTTTAAACAGTATGGCATCTGATTCTTTATGATCTCCAAGCAATGAAATGACACACAATACCACTAGTACTTCGGGGGATAAAAAACTATAATTATCTTATCTAGAATTTTCAGACAGACATTCTTATTAAGTGGATTAAAACTCTGACAAGGCAAGAGTTAGCTCCCTTCTCAAACCACCAATACATTTGATAATATTGAATGTTAAAAGTTCTGAGCAAAATTTCAACACTTTGTCTACATCTAACATTGATCCCAACACATATTGATATAAAAATAGTACAGACCTCGGTACAAAGGGGAGCATGTGTCTGCCATGCAGTCCACAGACCACAAAAGAAAGTTTCTTCAAATGGTTCATTGACAAGTACCCACAGTGGAAGCTGTCTAAACCGGCACATGTCGGGACTGAATAAATAATCCGGTTTTGACAGCGTGCCGGAATGTATAGCTGACATGTTTACCTATGACTAGAACTAAACCAGTTTTATCACTCTCATATACATTGTTGTATAACGTGGTTCTCTCAGCTCACTAATTACATGTACAAGTACACCCATACTGAACTAAGATTAAATTATCTTTGTCAGCAACCATGTAGTTTCAACACAGGATTACTGACTCCTTGCCACGGGCGGCTCATTTCATGCCGAGATCCGGAATTGACAGCTGCCGCATTGCAGAGCTTTTAAATGATGATAAATGTACTAGCCATGGACGGGACTGAGATTTTATGCCGATGTTGACAATTTGCCGGATTGGACAGCTGCCGGTTTTGACAGCTTCCACTGTATATCTATTTTCTATCAGAAGGAATTGAGGAAGGGAAGTAACTCTCTCTATAGCTTTGTCCCCCACCCAGCTGTCAAAAGTAATGATAAAGATCCCATTACAACACCAATGTAACACACTAATGATGCTGTAAAGTGTTCAAACTGTGAACCTTTTATTCTCATATATTATACAACAGACATGATATTATTGTCTTATCAAACAAAGGTGGGTTTTTCTTATTCTCTAACAAATTTTATTAAAATGTATTAATTCTCTAAAAAAGGCAGGATATTTTGTTTCTACCAAACAACCATTTCTCTGTGATAACAAAATATGTAACTGTGTGAAACTATACCTGATCCAGAGCACTTAGTTATGATCTTTAAAGCACCAATAATGTATCCACATACAAAATTGATTTTGCTTTTTAGTAAATGTGGCTGATCATGATATGTATCCAGTGGTGTTATTGTGATATGTGGTCTTTTACACCCAGCAGGCATTGCAACAAAGTAAAAAAAAGAACCACCCCCCCCCCAAAAAACAATCAATCATTGTCTTCTGACAATATGAGCAAGCATAGTACATGAACAAAGCATTTATACTCATGGTCACAAGGAAGTGTGGCAAGGGAAAGTATCATAGTAACAATGGATATATCCAAGGAAATGCCCAAGTTCAAGGCATGTAGAAAATGATTCTCTGTCAGTGGAACCTTTTAAGATTCTGTACTGACCTACCAGATATAATGCCCATAAGATGCTACACTAACATACAGAATGTTTAATGTGTTATACTGCAGTGAGCTATGTAATAATAGGCTATATTATCAAGTCAGGTAACACAAACTGATGAATGCCATTACGATCACTGACCCACATTTGTTGGGACACGATGACATGATTTCTACAAAGTATATTTTTAGAATCTCAAGTTTCATATAACCTGACATGCAAGAATGTAATCTTAAAAGTCTTAAAATTTCTCTTCTCAAAGGATACTGAGGAATCTACACCAAGTTTCAAAGGTCTGCTCTGCTGAGGTCAAAGGAACCCTGCAGCCAACTAACTGTTTACACAACCAGAGCTACATGTTGTTATCTTAAAAGATTCTCCATGCAATGTAAACATTCATGTGAAGGAACAGTAAGAATGCAAACTCCATATACAGTATAGCGGTGTTGAGGCATGGTTATCTAGAATTCCTGCTATCAAAGGAAGAGGTACGATAAGGGCCCATTTGGCCCCTTTTGGGCCCTTTTATTGACCCCATGTCAAGTTTTATAGTTGCAGAAAACTTTGAAATATTGGTATGAAAAATGTTAGACATGTTCCATGTCTGTCATCAAAAAGTCGATTTGTAGAACTTAGAAGGGGTGTTTTTAAGTATATCTATGAAAACCAGATTGGGTCAAACATTCGTGCAAATATTAGAAAAGCACTTCATAAAATCTCTAAGATCAGCCTTTTAGATACCACGAAAGGTGTCAAAAAGTATTACCACTGCATTCAGTGTTGTCAGAGGTCCTAAATATGCAATTGTTGAAATGAAAACATTATAGTTCAGTTCTTATAACAGTTTCTAAAACTTTTTCCCAATTGTTAATTATGCAGATCCTATTGACCAATAGGACCCTTATCATACCTTGCCCTTTGTAAAAAGTTAAAGTACATAAATATAGGAAATACCTCAAATCTGAGGATAGAAGATTCATCAACTATACAAAGCTCAAAAAACTTTCATTCTATAAAATGTTATTAATACAAAAATTTGACAAAAATTCAATCCCTTTCTGTTGGCCCTTCAGACAATAACATTGATGTTGTACCCAACAGTTCATGATGACATCTCAGGGCTCGATTTAAGATATGTTAACCTACTTGCACCAGGTGCAACCTAAGATAGAAACCTAGCTGCACCATCCAAATTCCAGTTGCAACGTAGTGTGCTAAAATGTCAGAGGTTTCGGTGCACATGAACATATTTCCGTGATGTTGTACCCATGAAACCATAGCAACACAGAGACACAGCTGGTTCCTGTTTACTCGAGCTGTAATAGCCAAGAGGTGTCTATAAATAGCAAAGTTTTGATGCCATAGCTATTCAAAGTTTAGAAGAAATATGAGCTGACATATTTATGCTTATAATGTTAGATTTATTGCTGATATAATTCTTGAAACTTGACTTGCACCTGGTGCAAGTCAGACTAATAACTAGGCTGCACTTTGTAATATTGGGTTGCACCCGTGCAAGTATCAAAGCACTAAATCGAGCCCTGCATCTGTCATTCACATGCAGTGCACTGGAAGCAATGTAAAATTATTCACTTGGTTATAATATCTATCAGTCTGGTGGCCTAGGTTACAAGAATTAGGGTTTTAACAGTTGAAGTACAGGAGTACCCATGTTATTCTGATAGCCTGGAAGGTGTAACCTAGAGCACAGTTGTATCACTATATAACTTAATGTATCAGTACTGTTACAGGTGATTCAAAGCTTTCCATATATCAGTCTCAAACAAATGGCTGAAATAATATTTCCAAGACCACAAGAAAATGATTAATATTATATCAACTGCAGCTTAAATGACCAAACTGAGCTACAAATATCCCTAAAAAAGCATTTAACAAATGAGAACAAAATCAGTGAACTCTGGATGCTTATTATTGGTTATGCATTGTTAAATTTTCTGATCCACAATTGAATTTTTTTTTAAATGACAAAGCAAAAATGTAACTACCGGTATGTAATTTCATCCATGAGCACTGTTACAGGTTCAGGTGATTCAACGCTTTACATAAATTTAGTGGTTTTCTGTATCGCTATTGGAAATTTAAAAAAGCAAAAATACCCGTCAGCCTTTCAATGCTGCTGCAAGACCAAATCAATTTCTGGTGGTCTGACTCAGATTTGTTTGTACTGTCTCAGAGTATTAGGGATATATGACAGAATGGTCCAACAGAATTAGGGCAAGTACAGTCAAAGATACCAAGGAAAGTTTATATCTAAGTTGCATATCAGATGTGTCGACTTTCGGAAATTCCATCCAACCCCAAACCTTTGCAGTGCTGCCCCAAATATTTACCTGCGGTGGTTTATCAGGATGATAAACTGACATCGACCACCACAGCATGAGTTCACACCAGCACCTTGTATACATACATACAGCAGTCATTTGGAAAAAGGATTTTGACAATCTTTCTAGTTTGGTTATTACCAAATTACATAATACATATTATATATGAAAGCGGACAATAGCATATTGAATTTAAATTCAACATGTTGCTTTTGATCATAAGCTCATCACATGTAACCATGGTAACAATATAGTGCAGAGTCCATTTTCTTTGAAAATTCCTGTGCACAGACAAGTGTGTAATCTTCATGCCAGAGATAAATCGGTGAAATGTTCCTAGTGAAACCATATACATGTCACTGAATGTGAATTTATGCAGTGGGAAAAATACTGGTTCAGCAACACAACACACTGAACCTTTTGTCACCTACACGAAGTAGGGAGGTAGATTCTAGCTAAGCTATTACTCACTATACAGTTGTAGTTACTCCTTTAAACACACTTAGATAACCAGTCACACCCACCCTGAGCCAGTCAGGGCCAACGCAGAAGTACCGACAGACACACAGACACACAGACACAGACAGGAGGCCTGGCAGCCTGATCCTACCACCCACACAACGCAGTAAATGCAGTAGACATCAGTCTGTGTGATCTTGGAAGATGAGCTTCACATAGCCAGGGGCAGATGCAATAGGCGTGGCACAGAAAGGGCAGATTGCTCGGAAACCATGGCAACCGTGCGGCACTGCCACAAGGCACCAGTATCTGTGAGGGAATAAAAGTAAACAGTATGATAATATGATATTTTCATGCCAATATAGGCAGTCATTGAAGTAGACTAATGCTTAGTCCCTGAATATACATAATTTTTGAGAGTAACAAATAAACTCATTTAAATTGAAAAGGAGCCCAAGTGAGATGGAAGATTCAGGTGCAGAAGTTAACAGACCCTCAACCTGGGGAAATCTAGACTTGCTTCATTTAAGGCTTTAGCATTGCAGGGAGGGCTCGGCATTAGGGAAAATAATGTGGTTCAGGGAACGTGAGTCAGAATACCATGGAAGACACAATAGCACACTATTACACATGTGGATGTGTACAATGAGTGAGTGAGTGAATGTTGCTTTTACGCCACTTTTAGCAATATTCCAGCAATATCACGGCAGGGGACACCAGAAATGGGCTTCACACATTGTACCCACGTGGGTAATTGGCGTTATGAGCAATCACTCTAATCACTAGGCTACCCAACCGCCCCACATGGGTACAATAAGTGAAGCAAGTCGTTAGTCATCCTCTGCATCTCCAGGGCCTGAATTTTTGTAAACCTACTAACTCCTAGATCCATTCCCATGGTTCTTTCAATCACAAATTAATGCCACATTGAAAACAGTTTTAACCACATCTTGGAAATACATGTCTTTCAGCTAAGTTTGAAAAGAGTGAGCAAACAGGTCATCTTGTATCTTGGTGTGGATGTAATGTAAGTTCTGTGATGGTATAACTAGCTTACCTGACTGTGTTTTCCGAGGCCACATGTGCACATGGGATGAATGCATAGGTGGGAGACTCGGCGTCAACATACAGACTCAACTCACAGCCCATCTGCAGCTTCACAAAGGGTCCCACCTGTCACAAAACAAGCATAGGTTACTAGCTATACAGGTAGGATGGGCACAGGTTACTAGCTATACAGGTAGGATGGGCACAGGTTACTAGCTATACAGGTAGGATGGGCACAGGTTACTAGCTATACAGGTAGGATGGGCACAGGTTACTAGCTATACAGGTAGGATGGGCACAGGTTACTAGCTATACAGGTAGGATGGGTGGGTTACTAGCTATACAGGCACAGGTTACTAGGATGGGCACAGGTTACTAGCTATACAGGTAGGATGGGCACAGGTTTAGCTGGGCACAGGTTACTAGCAGGTAGGATATACAGGTAGGATGGTTACTAGCTATACAGGTAGGATGGGCTGGGTTACTAGCTATACAGGTAGGATGGAGTCACAGGTTACTAGCTATACAGGTAGGATAGGACTAGCACAGGTTACTAGCTATACAGGTAGGATGGGCACAGGTTACTAGCTATACAGGTAGGATGGGCACAGGTTACTAGCTATACAGGTAGGATGGGCACAGGTTACTAGCTATACAGGTAGGATGGGCACAGGTTACTAGCTATACAGGTAGGATGGGCACAGGTTACTAGCTATACAGGTAGGATGGGCACAGGTTACTAGCTATACAGGTAGGATGGGCCCGGGTCACAGGTTACTAGCTATACAGGGTACAGGGATGGGCACAGGGCTATACAGGTAGGATGGGCACAGGCTAGCTATACAGGTAGGATGGGCACAGGTTACTAGCTATACAGGTAGGATGGGCACAGGTTACTAGCTATACAGGTAGGATATACAGGTATGGATGGGCACAGGGCTATATGGGCTATACAGGTAGGATGGGCACAGGTTACTAGCTATACAGGTAGGATGGGCCCAGGTTACTAGCTTTACAGGTAGGATGGGCACAGGTTACTAGCTTTACAGGTAGGATGGGCACAGGTTACTAGCTATACAGGTAGGATGGGCACAGGTTATTAGTTACACAGGTTGTATGCCTGAGCTGTTAACAATAGTTATTCAGTGTTTAGACTCACAGTAAGACAAAGAGGGCAGGTCCGAGTGTCGTCTGCATCCTGCTGTCCCCACTCATGTTTCCCATGGACGTGTCCACACTTGAGATAGACGTATGGTTGCCTCTCTCGCAGGTTGAGCGATCCTCGTGTTGGCAACACCAGAGTGTTCAGACCAACTGGGCACTGGGGCCGGCCAGCATTGATCTGTCGCACCATGTGTTCAAACTCGTGTTCACTCTGCAACAAACAAAACTCTGTACTAGTACCAGGGCTCATACCTGAAGAGTGAGTGAGTGAGTTGAATTTAAGGCCACACTCAGTAATATTCCAGCTATATGGGGGCGGTCTGTAAATTATCGAGTCTGGACCAGACAATCCAGTGATCAAACAGCATGAGCATTGATCTGCGCAAGTGGGAACCGATGACATGTGTCAACCAAGTCAGCGAGCTTGACCATCCGATCTCGTTAGTCGCCTCTTATGACAAACATGGGTTACTGACGGTCAATATTCTAACCCGGACCTTCACGGGTCATACCTAAAGTAGCCATTAAATGTGACAATTTCTATTAGTATGGCTGATGTGTAATTTCCACAACTTGAAACGAAAAAGTGTTAAACAAAAACATTATCTAAGCTGTTGTGACATATAACATGGCCAACAAAATAACCATAGCAACAAACTGATGAATATAATTTCAAATGTGCTTCACTCCTAATGCTCAGTTGTCTCCCTTTAATCCATTAAATGACTTAGTTCACGGCATACAATGTCATGCCACTCAACTGTGTCCTTTTCTTTAACAAGGAAAGATACAAACCAAAAATGTGGAATACAAAAATGGGAAATTAATTGCATGTGCCTAAAACCGTTAGGTGTATTTGGCAGACATAAATTTAGAAAGCTGCTACAAATGAAAACTGAACATACAGGAGAGGTTATAAGACCCAGGGCCGATCTCCACACTAGTGTTGCTCCACATAGGTCGACTAGCGTCCCATCACGAAGGATATTGTCCTCTTCTAAGATCTGGAAAAACAAGGGATATCTTTGTGTAAAAAAAATGTCACCTAGTAGTAATTTGTATAGTGGCATGTGTTCCCATGTACAGTAGTACATCAGCAACAAATGAGACAAAGTTAAACACCGGTCCAGGAAACTAGATGTATCCGAATGTAACAGGAGTAGGAATTTATTTGACATGCTAAGACCTACTGTCACGGCTATATTGTGCAAATGTAAATGTTTTGTCACCTAGCAGGATCCTGGGCCACGTTTCACAAAGTGATCACAGCAGTAAGACGCTTGTCAGTCCATGCTTAAACATACACTTATGACAGCCGTAGTGGTACGTTCTTTTCATGGAGCATAGCCCTGGGCCTAGATTTTCGTAGCTCTCTTAGCGCTAAGATAGTAGTTGTAAGTGCCATACACTGACATTAACTTACGACTATATTAGCCTTACGAGAGCTTCGAACATCTAGGCACTGGTCCCCAGCAACTTTGCCTTGTATATGCCATCGAATTACACCTGATATGTGGACGTTTTTCAAGAGGACATTTCAGACAAGGGGTTACCTGACAGCTTTTAAGTGGTGAAGGCCGGGATTCTCTGAGTGGAAACACCCCTCCTCCGACAGACACTTCCCGCCATACACCTGGTTTGGCAGATGGCGTGAAGCCCCCAGTCGGCTGCATGATGAACACACCGTTGGTGGTCAGGCCATCTATCTCCTCACCCGCATACCACTTGACTGCCTTCTCCTGAAACACAATACAGAGTTTACCAGATATAAAGAGCATTTCATCTTATTAACAATGGACCCAAATAATTTGCATTGCAGGTCCTGGGGTACATAAAACATGGAGAATCATACAGCTGTGTGAATCATTGAACTTCCAGCAATCAGAATTGATGTCTGTGTGTCAGATATGCATGTGACTGACACTCCTATACTTGTATTAAATGTAATTAAAGTTCAATATATCAGCAACGGATTTCGTTCACTCCAAACAAGGACACATTTAGGATATGAAACTAAGACAAAGAGCTGGGAAAAAAGTCTGACATTTTGTTCAAAATTGGAATTTTTAACTGTTCTTACTTTCTAAGGAATTGGGGGATGTTTATTCTTGGAATTTTTACTGTCATTTACTGCTGACTGAATATTGTCCTCTGAGCAAGTCTAAATACATTCCTCCTGACAATAAGGTCCAAATCTATTATTGTCAAAAGGTGTCTGAGCATGCAGAATCATTAAAATTAAATTAAATCACATAAAATATTTAAAATCAAGTGCCACATGGTAACACCGTGCACTCCTTTTGGACCCTGAGTTGAAAGCAGATAAACAGAGCTATTTCTTTACCCAATGTGTCTAAAAGCACAAATACTTATGTAATGTTTTATGCTTGCTTCTTCACCAAAAATATATATAATGGACAACTTACACCAAGAAAAATATTTCTGCCTGAATCAAATCCAGCAGCATATATCCTGGCTGTATATGGTGGGTTCCTGTCTACTAGTATCCTACATGCAAACCGGGATATTGTGCTCTGTGTTATGTTTTCTGTAGTTCCTCGCTGATTCCCAGGAATGGTATCCATGACAACAAAGTCAATTGGATTCTCTGAAGATCGGCCAATCTGTAATGAAAGAATATATATACATGAAAACTTTTATGACTGCAGGTAAAAAACAAATCATTTTCAAGGAGAATGTATTGCAAATCAAGTTTGGATCAGACAATCTTGTGATTAATATAGTGAGCAGTGATTCATGCTGTGCTACAAAATGCTATTGACTGCATCACTAAGTCTGGCCATTAAGATGGTGTGTACAACAAGGACTGACTGACTGACTGAGTTTGGTTTTACGCCGCTTTTAGCAATATTCCAGCAACATCACGGCGGGGGACACCAGAAATGGGCTTCACACATTGTACCCATGTGGGGATTCGAACCCGTGTCTTCAGCGTGACGAGCCAACGCTTTAACCACTAGGCTACCTCACCGCCCCTGTACAACAAGGAAAGGTTGCTGACGACGAAACATATGCTTCCAAAATCCCATCGGCAAGACTTTGTTGACCCATTTCAGAATATTGGATAAGTATCTCTCAGAAAACTTGAGCAGTTTCTGAGAAAACCAGTCCCCCCCCCCCTTCCCCCTTATATACGAAGTAAAACAACTTGGATCAATTGCTTAACTTTATGAAACTTTCTTCACTCATTCGAGATCATGACCAGCAACATTTTGTCATTCTTATAACTGAAATAGTTTTGGAGAAAATTTGTCTTTTTTAATAGGAAGAATGGGGGGGATTTGTCGGACTAACTTCATTTCGATGTCCGCAATCATCTCACTCTGTAGTGGGTAATACAATGAACAAAAAATATCCGATCTTTAAACTCTACCAGTGCTATCTGAGATCTATACACAATATTCCCATATCCAACATTGTACAGTTAATGGTACTGTGATATGAAATAAATTCTACTGCAGTTCCCATGGCAACAGTTACCTGGAACATGTCTGTATCCTCATCCTGCTTGTACTCCACTATGACAGCCTTGTTCCTGGAGAGAGTGTACGACACCGAGTGTTGGGCAGTATCCTGCACCGCCTGCAAACAAATACCCACTCTAGGTTAAAAAATAATACTTTCCCCCAAAACAACATTGTCAGTTGTGAATGTTTACAGAACCTGAGGTTCCAGGCTAGTATTGGTCTGACTTGGTTGATGCATGTCATTGTATCCCAGCTGTGTAGACCGATGCTCATGATGTCAATCACTATGTTAGACACACAACACAAACACAACATATGTGTGAAGTGTTGTTCAATTTGTGTACTTTCTAAAATCAACTGCTGGAATCCAAGGGAGACAACTCTACTGTTACTAAAGGCACATACTACACTACATTCTCCCACCTTGCATTGTGTAAACATGTTTTATCTATCTATCTATCTATCTATCTATCTATCTATCTATCTCTCTCTCTATATATATATACATATATATATATATATATATATATTCACTCTGTGCACTGACTCAGCATTCACTTGATAAAGAAGCAAGAATTAGCTCTGAAACGTTGTATAAAGAATAGAAAAGTTGTTATCCATAAACGTGTCATGTATTCAGGCACAGACATTACAAGAACAGGTAAAAGTATAATTTACTATGGAGACAAAGTTAATTTTCAGGCCATAAATGGAGTGACATAGCTGACTAGCTCATGGGAGCTTACACCAGAGCAGTATATTTTTCATTATGATGTCATTAAACAATGTAATGTTAAATCTGAGTCTCACACTTTGGTACAATGGACACAGAAAATCAAGGCAGTTTCATCTTTGAACACAGCATCAAGGATGAAAGAATGAGTGAAAGTTTCTGTTTGAAACTATTGGCAGCTGATAATAAAATCCTTGTGAAAACCTAGCTGTATATAAGTGATATATACATCTGACAGTATGCCAGGTGTATGCTAAACGCTGTCATTCTGAGAGAAGACAACTACAGGAGCCAGTGAGTTCATGCCGCTAGCCTTACCTTGGAGGACTGGGGACTAGTGACAAGATGTTTACGGAAGGGTTTGACACCATTTGCCCGTGATCTCTTCCACAAAATATACTTGCTTCTTCTCCGTCCCTTGTCACCACTAGGCAGGTGCCCATTGTACCTACAAACAAGAAACATATTCAACTCATGGTGGCATGAAAGTAGGGGAAAAGGAAAGCCCACAGTGGCACAGGGGAGGATGTTTTACCACCTTACACAGATCAACTAATCCTTGGGTCGGGGATAAGTACAAATTCTTGTTTTCTCTTTCCAATTAACAGTGTTCACGAATGGTGTTTCAAAGTAACAGGACATTGGGTCCTGTAAGCTTCAGCTGTCTGTCTGACCCATTGAAAATTCACAGGACCCAAAGAATAAAATTAAACACACATTTCAGATTTAACATTTCTTATAATTGGCATTGAAATTATTAACAAACATAAGATTTATAAACAGCAAACAAGTGTCAACTTCAGTCAAAGTCATTGTGAAATATACAGTCAGACACTGGGGCCAGCGGGTTGTAGACTTCTATCAGACCTTTGCCGAATCTGCCGGATTTGTCAGAGGGTCAGACGCTATTCCTGAACACTGAACTAATCTTTTCACACAAGAATCATAATCATATTGTAATGGTAACAATAAATGATACTGAGACCGGTCCATTGTCTGTCAGAACCTGGCTGATGCAAAGCACCTGCACTTACCCCAGGACAATGAGCTCTCCATATTTGATGGAGTCCCCACCCTGAGCTGGCTGAGGGCCCTTCTTGGTGGAGACGGACGACGGGCCCGGGGGAGGCTTGGAAGACACCTCCTGAATGCTGTGTGTAGGTGACTTGGAGGAAATATCTTCACTTGGCCTGAAACATACATCCAACATACTCAAATGATTTGTTTGTATTTGTTTATTCATGCACTCGGCAATATTCTGTACTGTATATCGCCAAGTACAAGGAATGAATTTTGTACCTAGAATTACAGATGTTTCCCTTATGCACAGGGTAGAAGATCTCACAAATTTTTATTGGCAACATCAACTGGCACCTGATAACCACTGACAGTAAAACTTTGTATTTCATTCAAAATAACTGTTCCAAGAACTATTTGGATATGTACGCTTCTACTTTATCTGAATATCTGTATATGAAGGCAGTCTGAAATTCATCAAGTCTGGACCAGGCAGTCAAGTGATTGATCATTTGAATTGATCATGCAATTACCCAAGCCACCGAGCCTGACCACCCAATCCATTAGTCGCCTTTAACGACTGATATGGGTTGCTGGGGACCTATATTCTTACCTGGAATCCCCACGTGTTTACTGAAATGAACATTGTGTCGTCTAATTATCTTGCCCTCATTTGTCGAAATAATAACCCCCGACCTTTCGCTCTCATGCCAGACACTCTATCCACTTGGCCACCGAGGTGGTCAATACTAAGATGAGTAACTCTCTACAGTTTCACTTCCAGACACATGACTCCTACAGACACAAATTCAACAGACCTAAATTCAATTACAGCCCTGTACAGTGTTCCTGTTGATGGGAAGCCCTATAGAGATGATGGGACAGGTATTAGAAACCCCTCAATGCCATGGAACAGAAATTGGTGGGAGGGGGGTAATCTTTTTTCAAGGAACTAACTGCACCATAATGAAAAAAAAAAGGGTCAGTAATATATAAAATATATCTAATTACTGTGTGCTAGGCACCAGCTGCAAATGACTCACTGGTACATGGTAGTACAACCACACACAGTCACAGTTCATCAGCTACAGAGTGCAGAGTAAACCTTTTTCAGTTTTCAGAATTTGTAGCCTGTCCTCCTTGTATGTGACATGTATACTATGATTGTATTTTCTGCAGTTTTATTCATATCCAATGTGTTGCCAAATGCAGCTTTGAGAACTGGATCGCATGATAACAGGATCATAACTATGTGAAAGAACTCTAGAGACTGCAAGATGAGATTCCATGCCACATTAATAAACATATAGTTCACCCTTTTTTTTTGTCAACATAAAGTATTGGAGATATATATATACTGTCCAGAATTTGACCTTTGAAATTTGAAAATACTAACTTACTGTTGGTCCAAATTTACTACCAGAGAAATTTGAACCATCTGGAAAATAATTAGGACCTTTCAGAGTAATGTCTACCAATGTCAACATACTGTATGATTGGTATCTGGGTCAAAGGGTGATGGGCTGGAGAGCAGTACTGTGAAGTGTAAGAAACATCTCCTCTTTCAATATTGAAATTAGCAATCATTGTGATTCAATTCATTGTTTCTGTCTCAGAAGCAATCTCAGGGTTACTACTGGTGAAATGAAAGCAAAACTAACCCATTTACCGTGTTTACTTAGATTAATTGTGCAACGTAGTGTAGTAAACAGGAAACTATCAAGTGCAAATATCATGTGACCTCAAAACACTTAAGTATTTCAGTTTATATGAATAAATATTCATTTAAACATCGTGTTTCTTGGAGTATTCACAAATAGAGTAATATAATAATCTAACTACCATGACAATACATTGATTTTCCAAGAATATTAGGCTTTGAATATGATGTATGAAGCTTTTCACTTCATGGCCAACAAGCAATGATTACATTATTCCATGTCTGGTTCATTTTCTTTTAAGACTTTAGTAAACACTCTCTGGCAGATTCAACACAATGTGCTTGTTGATTTACAGTGGAGTTTGTTGGGGGGAAAATCCTGAGATTACCATACAACCTAAACAGTTGTCACCAAACATGAGACTCCATTTGATGACAAGACACTTATTAATGACATGTTGTTATACACGGAATTCAAAGATTCTCGATGACAGTATTGTGTAAGTGAGTGAGCGAGGGTGGCTGGATGCATAGGTGTATGTGTAGGTGCTTGCATATGTGTGTGCGCGTGTGCATGTGTGTGTGTGCATGCATGCCTGTGTGCAGTGGGTGTTTGTATGTATGAAAACGTGTGGAATCAAACCTGGGTCTTCAGAGTGACAAACAAACATTTTCACTATACTGCCCCAAAGGAACAACACCGGTTAGAGGTGAGTGAGTGAAGCGTGTTTAGTTTTATGGCACACTCTGCAATATTCCAGCTATATGGTGGCGGTCTGTAAATAATCGAATCTGGACCAGACAATCCAGTGATCAACAGCATAAGCATCGATCTACACAACTGGGATATAAAGACGTGTAAACCAAGTCGAGTCTGACCACCCGATCCTGTTAGTCACCTCTTATGACAAGCATGGGTTACTGAAGATCAACTCTAACCTGCATCTTCACGGATTGCCTAGTAGAGAACACTATGAGAACAATATATATTTTCTTTGAAAGTTCAAATAATTACAATTTTACAGAACAAATGAGTGACAAACTATATGACTCCCACATTATTTACATACAAAATAGCACCCCAAAATATCAAACATTAACAAATGAGTAATTTTCTATCAAATATTTGTCTACAGCAAAATAAAAGACATAAAAGGAGGTGAAAATAGAAATTTTGAAAAAAAACCCCAATATAATGCCAACACGCATAAAGCCAATCTGACCACCCACCTGAACCTAGCCATGCTTCCTGCTACACCCTCCACAACAATAGCTGTCCACGGCCATATTTACATAATCCATGACGGAGCAATTCTTCCCATGCTCTGAATATGTTGTACAACACAATTCAATTGTTGATGTCAGTGGGGCGACAGCATTGCGACGTGCCGCATGGCAATTCCAGAAACCAGATGTAACCTACAAGTCATCATTCTCCAGGTGTAAACAAACCTGTGAGGCCAAATTATATTCCTACTGTGGAGTACGTAAGGATTATGAATATTTATGCTCATCCCTCTGTTCAAGATGAAGTTGATGTGGAATTGTATTATTAAATTCAGCATTGGCTCGGTATCTATTTTGAACAGGAATCATGAAACTTTAAACGAGTCGTCGCATGAACATCCTGTGTGTTCTCTCAAGTGTGGGAAGAACGTGGTGGTCATTATTGCTCATGTTGTCAGTGTTACCAATTATACTGGCTCTTAAATGTCAGAAACCATTAGCTGACAAAAATCCTTGTATAATTGTAAATTGTAAACTATCACCAGAACTATTTCTATTACAATTCTGTAGACAAAATGGGTTTTTTATAAATAATTGTAAACAAGATTAGAATTTATCTTGCAACCATATGCAAGCTGGCCAATAAAGAATGGACTTATCGTCATTCTTTCAACAGTGAAATTCTTCCATGCATACATGCTGTGGAGCGAGTAATTGTATTCACTTGTTATACACTCTCTGTGGTATAAAAAGAAACTTCGGCCACCATTTTGTTGTTTGTTGAATGAGAGCTTTTTGTTGCTGACAAAGTCATAAGTAGGAAAAGGTAAAGGAAAATTTAAAATAAAGCTGACGGCAGCTTTTTTTTCCAAACTGAATCATGAAAAGTGTTATAGAAATACATGGGAGGGGAAAGGAAAAAACAAAACCCATATAAATTTGTCATTTTTTATGAAATTATGTTTTGGAGACAAATGCCTCTATATTTGTCATGCAAGGAAGTTCACTATGACTCATCAACTATACAATCTGACGAATAATGAAAATGAACATCATAAGATTCATTGAGGATTTTGTTTAAATCACCAAGAAATCTCCAAATAAATTGCTTGTATGAAATACTGGGGCTCATAAGTGTAACATTTTGAAAGATTACTTCTTATTTAGATTAAAAAGGATCAGCAATCTGTTGGTCCAACAAAATAAAATAAAATAATGGCCTTCCCCTGATTAAGGAAGTTATGGGTATCTGTTTATCATTAAATGTTTAATGCCAATGATCCTCAAAAACATCATCCAGGAATTCCTTTAAGTAGCTTTGTACATTGAATATGGTACTACCGGACAAACCGTGGTATAACATTCCCTAAATGATGTGATTGTGGCTTTCTTATCTTAGAGTACTGGCATAAACAAATGGCAGCAAATGACTAGACTCCATACCATTAATGGGGCACTTCAGAAATGAGGGATATACATATTTCTACACAATCTCCACATTGAATTGCAATACTGTAGACTAACAACTAGGCTCTGAAATGAACATATTTTTTTAGTTCATAGTGAAAAAATAAAATATAATGAAAATGAGCCCTGAGACTTACTTCATTTTCAGAAGCTGTGGAAATCTAGACTTGCCACATTTTCTAGACTTGCATGAGTTTTCTTGGATATATTTGCTGCAGGGTCTGTATGACAGACTAGCAATACTGTTCAAACTCTAATTATTCTAAGAATAAACACCCTTGTGTCTGTGAACTGTAAATATCATGTATCACTGTTAGGAATACAAGATTTGCATAATTCTCTATTTATTCCTAATATATTATTTAAAATCCTCTCAACGATTTGGGGCAGTGGGTTAGCCTAGTGGTTAAAGCATTGGCTCATCATGCCAAAGACCCGGGTTCGATTCCCCACATGGATACAATGTGTGAAGCCCATTTCTGGTGTCCCCCGCTGTAATATTGCTGGAATATTGCTGAAAGCTGCGTAAAACTGAACTTACTCACTCACTTCAGGTACTAGCTAACAAAGTTAGGAGCATAAGCCTTATAAACTCATTTGATACTTTCCATATTCTATCATTATTTGATCTTCAGCAACCCATGCTTGCTGTAACAGGGGACTAATGGGGTTTAGGTAGTCAGGCTTGCTGGCTTAGTTGACACGTTATCGTATCACAACTGAGTAGATCGATGCTCATGATGTTGATCATTGGATTGTCTGGTCCAGACATCCAGACACAATATTTTACAGACTGTCGTCATATATAGGCGGAATATT